GAATTGTAGTAATTTGACGTATTGTTGAAAAAAGTAGGTCAAGTTAGAGCAGAGAAAATAAATGATAGTCACAAAAAAATATCTTCTCGGCTTTGCATCGAAGCGAAAACTTAAAATATAGTAAAATAATTTTAATACGAATAAGAAATTTCTTCTTGCAAGGGGCGACTAAAGTGATGGGATCCTTGATCTTTATTGAAGTTATTGAATCTAAATGTGATAAAAATCAAACGAGTTAAAATTTATACTAACTTAAAAAGAATTAAGAAAAAATGCAAAAAATTCATTGCCATATGCGGGTTGGAACCTCGTACCCCAAGCGTGTAAAACATAAATTTTACCAACTCGGCAACCGTACGTTGCTTCCGGCGGTTGAAAAATTGGCTATTTAAGCTAGTTCAAATTTCAAAGTTATTTTTCTCGACTTAAAAGAAACAAACATATTTAAATAAGTTTAACTATCTATACTATATCAATTTTAATTTATATAATATTTATGAAAATCTGTACTCCCCTTGTCAGGTATTTTAAAATAAAATAAAATACAAAACCCAGAATTTTAACACAAAAATAGCATATTTTTGCATACGGTAGTCATTTTTACCATGAAGACAAATCCAGAGGTCAAATTTTTTTTTTTCACATTAAAGTATATTACATAAGCTTTAATTTAAGATATATTTAAAAGTGTCAGTATTTCCGGAATACTTTCAAAAATTAAATTGAAAATATCGTAGTAACAATACGCATGTTTAAAGTTTTGACCCCCCTTGTTAAAGGGGTATGATCCGATTTACAAAAAAAGCGTGCCAGATGAAAGGGGTATATCAATATTTATTATAAAAAAATAATAATATAGATCCATACATTTTTCCAAAAGTTATATAAAATATAAATTAAATAATATAACATATAAAATCGAGATTTTTTTCACGGAAATCGTACGTTTTTCTTTAACTTTGATGTCCGTTTTCACCACGAAGACAAGTCCAGAGGTCAAATTTTTTTTTTTCAAATTAAAGTATATTACATAAGCTTTAATTTAAGATATATATAAAAGTGTCAGTCTTTCCGGAACATTTTCAAAAGTTAAGTTGAAAAAGTTCTACTTTCTATACGCATTTTAAAAGGTTTGCACCCCCCCTGTATAAAGGGAAATGGTCCGATTTTAAAAAAAAGTATGTCGAATGAAAGAAGTATATATAAAGTATTTATCATTAAAGAATAAAGTTGATTCATGCATTTTTTAAAAAGTTATAGCAACATAATGTTAAAAAATGTAAAATATAATATCAAGAATTTTTTCACAAAAATAGCATATTTTTGCATACGGTAGTCATTTTCACCATGAAGACAAGTCCAGAGGTCAAATTTTTTTTTTTCAAATTAAAGTATATTACATTAGCTTTAATTTAAGGTATATATAAAATTGTCAGTCTTTCCGGAACATTTTCAAAAGTTAAGTTGAAAAAGTTAATTTTTTGTAAAAAAGTTACCATTTTGAAACCCCATCCTTTGGGCTGTTAAAGGGTCAAATGTTCACAAAAATATATAAAATGATAGGTAATTATCTAAGGTATCTATAAAAAAAAAAATTATATTGATTCGGTCATTTTTAAAAAAGTTATGGCAATTTTAAGTAAAAAAAATTGAAAAAATATCGAAAATTAGCGATTTTTAAATTTGTAATTTTTTGGGGGATTTCCCCCGTTTACGGGGAACGAGGGAATTTTTTTCAATTTTTGAGGGTAATGTCTTCGACTAGATACGATTTGTGATCTTTTGACATATTGTTCATCAAAATCGGTCCAGCGAGAGCTGAGATTGAGCGTTCACAGACACAAAAAAAAAAATAAAAAAAAAAAAAAAAAAATAAAAAAACACATCATAGTAAAATTAATACCTTCTCAGCTTCGCATCGAAGCTAAAAATTGAAAAAATATCGAAAATTAGCGATTTTTAAATTTGTAATTTTTTGGTCGATTTCCCCCGTTTGCGGGGAACAAGGGAATTTTTTTCAATTTTTGAGGGTAATGTCTTCGACTAGATACAATTTGTGATCTTTTGACATATTGTTCATCAAAATCGGTCCAGCGAGAGCTGAGATTGAGCGTTCACAGACACAAAAAAAAAAATAAAAAAAAAAAAAAAAAAATAAAAAAACACATCATAGTAAAATTAATACCTTCTCAGCTTCGCATCGAAGCTAAAAACAAATTATGTATATCTCATAGTTCATATTAACATCATAGTATAATAATACAAACAAAATAGAAGTGTGGTATGGAGGCAAGGCTACCATGATGATTTTATCATAAAAGTTTTTCATCCGTTCCCATGGCAATATCATGTGTCTGATTTATCATAACCGATCATATTCGTCAATGAGATTTGTCACGTCTCTCACCAATAACATATTAGCCTTAAAATCCCTATTTATATTAGTTCTAACTTGAAATTAATATATACTATTGTCAATAAACAATACATTCTTAGAACTTACAGTGGACCCCAGGAATCCGGCCCCTGATTATTCCAGCGCCCTTGTAATGCGACATGTCTATTATTATTGGGTATTTTTTTTACAATCTCCACTAATGTATATAATTCATGATTGAACAGGTTACAATTGTCACTATTGTGCTCAAAGCTAGATTCTTTGCTTACTGTTTACTTGGCGTGTGGTACCAAACAAAACTTTCGTTTCCTATAACGAAAAATCCGTACCTGGGCGAAAAGGAAGTAAAGAGCGTGTTACCATACTACCATGTGCAAATTTTGCGGGTACACAAGCGCTAAAAATGGTGGTCGTTGAAAAATCGAATAAACCATGTGCATTCAAAAACATTGATTTTCCTGTATATTATTTTGGTCAAAAAAGTGCGTGGATGACAAAAGACCTTTACAACAAGTAGTTTGATAAATGCTTAGTACCAGAAGTTTAAAAATTGTTGACAAATCATATTTTTCCTCAAAAAACGTTATTGCTTATTGATAACGCTCCCGGTCATCCGTCTGAAGAAGAACTGAAAACTGAGGATAAATGCATCACTGCGATGTTTCTTCCACCAATATAAACTACACTGATTCAACCAATGGATCAGCATATCATTTAGTTTGTCCAGCAAGATTATAAGAAAAATTTACTTCTGAGAGCTGTATCAAAAGATCAGCCAATAGAAAAAACTTTAAAAGAATTCAATATGAAAGAATTGGTTTTTGCTCTTTGTCAATCGTGGAATGCATTACCTTTGTTAACTATTTCATCATCTTGGAAAAAGTTATGTCCGGATATAGTCACCAGACGGATATAGTCAACGATCCACAAATCAGTGTAACTTCGGGAGTAATAGAGAAAGTTGCTGCTGAAACAAAGATAAGATCGCAAGATTTGGATATCTGGTACCCTGGAATGTAAGGAGGAAAATATTTTTTATGAAATGTCTGACAATGAGATTATAAAAGAGATATCTAGTTATACAACCTTAAATCAGAAGATGACGACGACATAATTACAAATACTCCGCAAGTGATAGCACAAGATGCATCTAACGCCTTTGAACTGGGTTTGCAATGAGCTGAGGAGAATGGAGCATCCTACAACGAACTATTACTTTTAAGAAGACTGAGGAACAAAACATTAGTCTCGCGTTTCAATAATGTTAAGCAAAAAAAAAATGATAAATATTTTCATGCTTAAATTCATATCATGATTTTTATTCGTAATTTTTGACTATTTTAGTATGTACATTTGTTTAAATACAATTACATTGTAATTGTATTCCTTAACGAAAAATTATTGTTTTTTGTAAGTTCTCTACCATTAATGACGTTAATTTTATAATAAAATATAAGCTTTCTATTGTGTTGTTTAATTTACTTAAGTCGACATACAGAATGAAGCATGATTTGTACTTCACACCAGGACCTGTCAAGACCAAATCTAATCTTTAGATTTGTGATTTTTCAGATTACAAGGTACCCTTTAGTTAAAAGTTCCGGACTATAAAAGGTCTTAGGGAATACTCTATAAACCGAAAAATTAGATAGTTCGACACTGATCAGCAAAACTTTTGTCGGATTACCCGGTTCCACTATATTTTACTATTTAAAAATTTGAATTTTTAATAAAATTATGAACAAACAATTAATTTTATTCTTTAAATTCATTTTAGTAGAGAGTGCAATCGTCCCGCCGCCATTGCTATTACACATGAAATATTAAAAATTTTAATTGTTCATTTATTTATTAATCACAATTATCATTTGATATTTGGTCATCTCACACCCCCGATTAACATAGGCAAACCCTCCTTGTTTCTACTTTATTGGTATGGAGTATCAAATTTTTAAAATGATTTTCTGCGATATCTAATTATGTTAACAAAATAATAATATCAAATATGTTTGATCTTATTTAGCTACTTAAAATAAACTTCAATAAAGTAAACGAATTATAGTTTAAAACTTTTTATTCTGTTTAATCCACATAATTTTCCCATATTCCATTCAATGACAAAAAAAAAAAAAATTATGAGCAATGGAGTAATCTGAGAAATCATAAGTATTTCATCAAAATAACCTTGTACTCGATTAGAACTAACTATACTATATAGAGACAGCATTTCTCTATTTAAAATCAGCATAACCAACTGTTCGGACTGAAGGTATGACTTAACAATTTTTAATTATTTTTCAATTTTCAAACTAATTTAAATTAACATTTAATTTATAATAGTGTATAATCAAAATAATAAAATGAATATGTTTGTTGGATTCACTAAAATTTTATTTAAACTAATAATATATATTCAGTAGCAGATAATACAATTTTTACATTCTTACAGCATCTCTTCAAACACATCTATATCATTGTTATTTCTTACCAAATTTATAGAAAGAATTTTATGCAATATCTAAAAATATAATAAAAATTGTTTAAACAATGCAAAAGTCGTTTTATTACTAAATGATATAATAGTGACGCATCAAATCCTTACATTCTTGTTGTACATTTTCCATCAAATCTTCTTCATTGGTAAGTTGTATCAAATTTTTAGGAGAATTTTCTGCAATATCTAAAAATATAATAACAAATTTTTAGTCTCTTTAAAATTAATTTTATTAAAATAAAATGTATAATAATGACGTATCAAAACCTCACATTCTTGTTGTACATTTTCCATCAAATCATCTTCATTGGTCTGTTGTATCAAATTTTTAGGAGAACTTTCTGTGATATCTAAAAATGTAATAACAATTTTTTAGTCTCTTTAAAATTCATTTTAATAAAATAAAATGTATAATAGTGACATATCAAAACCTTACATTCTTGCATTATCTTTTGAAGCATATCTATATCATTGTTAAATTCTAACATATTTATAGAATTATTTTGTACAGTATCTAAAAATATAAATCAGAATTATTTAATCAATTTTATAGTCGTTTTATTACAAAAAAGGTATAATAGTGACGCATAAAAACCTTACTTTCTTGTTGTACATTTTCCAACAAATCTTCTTCATTGGTGTGTTGTATCAAATTTTTAGAATAATACTTTGTGATATCTAAATATGTTAACTAAATAATAATATCAAATATGTTTGATCTTATTTAGCTACTTATAATAAATTTCATTAAAGTAAACATGTTATGGTTTAAAATTTTTAATACTGTTTAATCCACATAATTTACCCATATTCGATTCAATGACATATTATATCACATATTAAATTAAAAATAATTTAAATAGTGTATAATCAAAAAAAAAAATGAATTTGATTGTTAGCTTCACTAAAAATATATTTAAACTAATAATAAATATTTAGTAGTAGATAATACAATTTTTACATTCTTGGAGCATCTCTTCAAGCTCATCTATATCGTTGTTATTTTGTACCAAATTTATAGAAGGATTTTGTGCGATATCTAAAAATATAATAACAATTCTTAATCCATTAAAAATTAATTTTATTAAAGTAAAGTCTATAATAGTGACTCATCAAAATCTTACATTCTTGTTGTACATTTTCCATCAAATCTTCTTCATTGTTGTGTTGTACCAAATTTTTAGAAGAATTTTGTGCGATATCTAAAAATATAATAACAATTCTTAATCCATTAAAAATTAATTTTATTAAAGTAAAGTGTATAATAGTGGCTCATCAAAATCTTACATTCTTGTTGTACATTTTCCATTAAATCTTCTTCATTGGAGGGTTGTATCAAATTTTTAGAAGAATTTTCTGTGATATCTAAATATATTAACTAAATAATAATATCTAATATGTTTGATCTTATTTAGCTACTTAAAATAAATTTCATTATAGTAATCTAGTTATGATTTAAAATTTTTAATACATTATATTCGATTAGATCTAACTATATTATATAGACACAAAATTTCTCTGGTTAGGAACAGCATAACTAACTGTTAGATCTCTTAGTATACCTTAAAATTTTTTAAATCTATTACAAACTCATTTAAATTAAAATTTAATGTATAATAGTTATTAATAAAAAAAAAAATCAATATGTTAGCTTCACTAAAAGTTAATTATACAAAAATTAATATTCAGTTGTAGATTAATCATTTTATTAAAATAAATTGTACAATAGTGACGTATCAAAACCTTACAATCTTGTTGTACATTTTCCATCAAATCTTCTTCATTTGTGTGTTGTATCAAATTTTTAGAAGTATTTTTTGCGATATCTAAAAATATAATAACAATTTGTTAGTCACTTTAAAATTCATTTTAATAAAATAAATTGTATAATAGTGACGTATCAAAACATTACATTCTTGTTGTACATTTTCTATCAAATCTTCTTCATTGGTGTGTTGTATCAAATTTTTAGGAGAATTTTCTGCAATATCTAAAAATATAATAACAAATTTTTAGTCTCTTTAAAATTAATTTTATTAAAATAAAATGTATAATAATGACGTATCAAAACCTCACATTCTTGTTGTACATTTTCCATCAAATCATCTTCATTGGTCTGTTGTATCAAATTTTTAGGAGAACTTTCTGTGATATCTAAAAATGTAATAACAATTTTTTAGTCTCTTTAAAATTCATTTTAATAAAATAAAATGTATAATAGTGACATATCAAAACCTTACATTCTTGCATTATCTTTTGAAGCATATCTATATCATTGTTAAATTCTACCATATTTTTAGAATTATATTGTACAGTAACTAAAAATATAAATCAGAATTATTTAATCAATTTAATAGTCGTTTTATTACAAAAAAGGTATAATAGTGACGTATCAAAACATTACATTCTTGTTGTACATTTTCTATCAAATCTTCTTCATTGGTGTGTTGTATCAAATTTTTAGGAGAATTTTCTGCAATATCTAAAAATATAATAACAAATTTTTAGTCTCTTTAAAATTAATTTTATTAAAATAAAATGTATAATAATGACGTATCAAAACCTCACATTCTTGTTGTACATTTTCCATCAAATCATCTTCATTGGTCTGTTGTATCAAATTTTTAGGAGAACTTTCTGTGATATCTAAAAATGTAATAACAATTTTTTAGTCTCTTTAAAATTCATTTTAATAAAATAAAATGTATAATAGTGACATATCAAAACCTTACATTCTTGCATTATCTTTTGAAGCATATCTATATCATTGTTAAATTCTACCATATTTTTAGAATTATATTGTACAGTAACTAAAAATATAAATCAGAATTATTTAATCAATTTAATAGTCGTTTTATTACAAAAAAGGTATAATAGTGACGTATCAAAACATTACATTCTTGTTGTACATTTTCTATCAAATCTTCTTCATTTGTGTGTTGTATCAAATTTGTAGAAGTATTTTTTGCGATATCTAAAAATATAATAAAAATTGTTTAGTCTCTTTAAAATTCATTTTATTAAAATAAATTGTACAATAGTGACGTATCAAAACCTTACAATCTTGTTGTACATTTTCCATCAAATCTTCTTCATTTGTGTGTTGTATCAAATTTTTAGAATAATACTTTGTGATATCTAAATATGTTAACTAAATAATAATATCAAATATGTTTGATTTTATTTAGCTACTTATAATAAATTTCATTAAAGTAAACATGTTATGGTTTAAAATTTTCTATACTGTTTAATCCACATAATTTACCCATATTCTATTCAATGACATACTATATCTTATATAAAAATTATATTTTAATTTAAATAGTGTATAATCAAAAAAAAAATGTATATGTTTGTTAGCTTTACTAAAAGTTAATTATACTAATAATAAATATTCAGTAGTAGATAATACAATTTTTACATTCTTGCAGCATCTCTTCAAGCTCATCTATATCATTGTTATTTCTTATTAAATTTATAGAAGGAATTTGTGCAATATCTAAAATTATAATAAAAATTGTTTAGTCTATTTAAAATTAATTTTATTAAAGTATAGTGTATAATAGTGACGCATCTAAAACCTTACATTCTTGTTGTACATTTTCCATCAAATCTTCTTCATTGGTGTGTTGTATCAAATTTTTAGGAGAACTTTCTGCGATATCTAAAAATATAATAAAAATTGTTTAGTCTCTTTAAAATTCATTTTATTAAAATAAATTGTACAATAGTGACGTATCAAAACCTTACAATCTTGTTGTACATTTTCCATCAAATCTTCTTCATTTGTGTGTTGTATCAAATTTTTAGAATAATACTTTGTGATATCTAAATATGTTAACTAAATAATAATATCAAATATGTTTGATTTTATTTAGCTACTTATAATAAATTTCATTAAAGTAAACATGTTATGGTTTAAAATTTTCTATACTGTTTAATCCACATAATTTACCCATATTCTATTCAATGACATACTATATCTTATATAAAAATTATATTTTAATTTAAATAGTGTATAATCAAAAAAAAAATGTATATGTTTGTTAGCTTTACTAAAAGTTAATTATACTAATAATAAATATTCAGTAGTAGATAATACAATTTTTACATTCTTGCAGCATCTCTTCAAACTCATCTATATCATTGTTATTTCTTATTAAATTTATAGAAGGAATTTGTGCAATATCTAAAATTATAATAAAAATTGTGTAGTCTATTTAAAATTAATTTTATTAAAGTAAAGTGTATAATAGTGACGCATCTAAAACCTTACATTCTTGTTGTACATTTTCCATCAAATCTTCTTCATTGGTGTGTTGTATCAAATTTTTAGGAGAACTTTCTGCGATATCTAAAAATATAATAAAAATTGTTTAGTCTCTTTAAAATTCATTTTATTAAAATAAATTGTACAATAGTGACGTATCAAAACCTTACAATCTTGTTGTACATTTTCCATCAAATCTTCTTCATTTGTGTGTTGTATCAAATTTTTAGAATAATACTTTGTGATATCTAAATATGTTAACTAAATAATAATATCAAATATGTTTGATTTTATTTAGCTACTTATAATAAATTTCATTAAAGTAAACATGTTATGGTTTAAAATTTTCTATACTGTTTAATCCACATAATTTACCCATATTCTATTCAATGACATACTATATCTTATATAAAAATTATATTTTAATTTAAATAGTGTATAATCAAAAAAAAAATGTATATGTTTGTTAGCTTTACTAAAAGTTAATTATACTAATAATAAATATTCAGTAGTAGATAATACAATTTTTACATTCTTGCAGCATCTCTTCAAACTCATCTATATCATTGTTATTTCTTATTAAATTTATAGAAGGACTTTGTGCAATATCTAAAATTATAATAAAAATTGTGTAGTCTATTTAAAATTAATTTTATTAAAGTAAAGTGTATAATAGTGACGCATCTAAAACCTTACATTCTTGTTGTACATTTTCCATCAAATCTTCTTCATTGGTGTGTTGTATCAAATTTTTAGGAGAACTTTCTGCGATATCTAAAAATATAATAAAAATTGTTTAGTCTCTTTAAAATTCATTTTATTAAAATAAATTGTACAATAGTGACGTATCAAAACCTTACAATCTTGTTGTACATTTTCCATCAAATCTTCTTCATTTGTGTGTTGTATCAAATTTTTAGAATAATACTTTGTGATATCTAAATATGTTAACTAAATAATAATATCAAATATGTTTGATTTTATTTAGCTACTTATAATAAATTTCATTAAAGTAAACATGTTATGGTTTAAAATTTTCTATACTGTTTAATCCACATAATTTACTTATTTAGCTACTTGAAATACATTTCAATAAAGTAATCTAGTTATGGTTTAAAATTTTTAATACTAACATTATACTCTATTAGATCTAATTATGAGACAAAATTTCTCTGTTTAGGAACAGCATGACCAACTATTAGGACTCTTAAGTATAACTTAAAATTTTTAAAATTTATTTCAAACTCATTTAAATTAAAATTTAATTTATAATAGTTATTAATAAAAAAAAAAATCAATTTGTTTGTTAGCTTCACTAAAAGTCAATTATACTAAAAATAAATATTCAGTAGTAGATAATACAATTTTTACATTCTTGCAGCATCTGTTCAACAACATCTATATCATTGTTAAATCGCACCATATTAATAGAATTATTTTGTGCGATATTTAAAAATATAATAAGAATTGTTTAATCAATTTAAATTAATTTTATTAAAGTTAAGTGTGTAATAGTGATGCATCAAAACCTTACTTTCTTGTTGTACATTTTCCATCAAATCTCCTACATTGGTGTATTGTATAAAATTTTTAGAAGAATTTTCTGCCATATCTAAATATGTTAACAAATAAACAATTTCAAAAAAAATTTATACTGCTTAAAAAGTTATACCTTGCTTGTCATTCGTTGGTGATAGGGCAGGTAAAAATGTTTCACTTGTGTTCGAATCAAATTTAAATCCAAGTGTATNTCACTTGTGTTCGAATCATACTTTAATCCAAGTGTATCATACTTATTCCAGATTATCCTTTGAAATAAATTGCTCATTTTACCACTTAGAAAAATGATAAGTTCTTCGTCTTTTCTTTGACTGTTTAATGTTACAAATTCGATTTTCCAAAAATTCCACAAAGAACTCAAATCTATTTGTTTTATTTTACATAATGATAAATCTTTTTTGAGTTCATAAATGTTATTTTGTAAAATATGCGTGATAGTTATTAACGCAGTTTCAATTGACTCTTTATTGTTTTCCAAAATAATCAATTTCTTCAACGATTCATTTTTCTGTAAATTGGTAAGAACTTTATTTAAAGGAAATAGATTGTTTATTAGGGTGTTCAAAGGGCTTTTGTGATATTTTTCTATAGCATATAATGCTCCTTTCATAAATTTTGCCAGCGTGACAAATTCAATCATTTTTTCTAAAATTTTGACTGTACAATTGTGTGCACTAATTTTACCAGAATTAAGTAGCATGAAACAATATTCTTGAAAATTGTAAAATGTATAGAATATTGTATGTAAATCATTAGCGTAAGAACATCCAAGGAATATTGTAGCATTACGTATAATATTGTCACAGTTATTTAATGTTACAGGTTTATTAATCACATCGTTCAATGTAAACACATTGCGCCTGTAAATAATATACTCGACATCATTTATATTTTTCCATCCGGGTTGATGTAATAACTTCTCTATTATATCGACGTGTGCTTTTTTATTAGGAGCTCCTTCAATATTAAAAAAAGCGATAAATATAGAAAAGTACACTTGAATATTTAGTATTATTGAGATTTTCATTTTCAAAAAGTTTATGAATCGATTTTTTATTACTAAAAAAATTATTGTCATACAATTTTTATTTCAATATTAATCAATTCCTTTTTTCGTACCAAAATAATGAAACAAGCAATAATTTCGACTGCATACACTTGTGTAGATGAACAAAATTAATTTATTTGCATTTAGTAGTAGGAGTATGGTTATTATATTTTAATACTATGTGCTATAAATTAAAAAAATTTTTCTAGCTACCCTCGAAATAATTTATACATCCATATTTTTATCTAATAATAGATTACTACCTGCATAAGATTAGAAATAAATTGTAACAAAGTTCATAATTTGAATAATTATACAATATAATAAATCTAATTTTAGACGAAAAAATTAATTTTATTAAGAAATACTTTTTAACAGTTGTTATTAAGACTATTCTAACTTGTATCAATTTTTTATTAATAGTCTTAATAAATAATGATGAACTAATAGAATATAAATAATTTATAGCTAAATTAAACAAGAAAGGTTAAAATCGGAATGCATTCTAATATCTTATATTATTATTTGAAAACATGTCTTGATCAACCTCTTGCCTGATTTTTTTTTTCACGGACAACTAATTGTTGGCTGCCCTGGAAATACTGTGATGCATTATTTCAGGTCGGCCAACTTCGCAATATAACTCATAACACCATGTTGTGGATCAACCCCGAAATTAATTATGAGCTAATTCTCAACGTGGTGTGGTCACCCCGTTATCCGGCTCCCAGGGTGGGAACTGATAAGGTTTTCCCTGTACGGGAGAACCTACCAACCGGTCACATACGGGTGCAGCGACGGGGAAACCAGTTTAACGTCCACCACCGAGCTCTAGTCGTGACCTTCGAACGTCGTGGTGGAGCTCCTGTTGGCCGAGACCAGCATGAGGGATGGTATCAAATCCAACAGGTCTTCGCCACGCTGATTGGTGCCAGCCGATACCCACACTAGGGAGTGGGCGTTAATATTCCTGACAACGAGTTCCCTGTGGCCGTTACGTGGTGCCCGGACCTCTTCGGCTTGTGGCAGGAGGAATCGGACTCGAGGGGTCCGGCGATCGGTAAGCTGGGCGTAGCAGCTTAAGACGTATAGTATTTATAGTTTTTTTAAAGAAACTACAAAGTTTATTAATGTTAATAATGAGTGAACTTTTTTTTTCAAATATTTCATCAATAATAAAAGAATGACTTTCAATTTTTTAATTTAAATTGTAAAAAAATTTAATTTGTTAAGTGGTTGTGTTCTTGCATATAATTTAACGTATGTTGCAATGCGTAGTACGGTAAAATGTATTATTAAAAAAAACGGTAGCACAATATGGACATGGCATAGTTGAGACAAGTAAATATGATATCTGACAGTGTTTATAATCACAATCATAAGAAACGCTACGTTGTAAATCTCTACATAATGTTTAATATTAAGAAATTAGTGGATAGTTCCAAAAGCTTAATTAACTCCTTTTTAATAGAATTAAGAAAAAATACCAAAAAAGTCATTTTGATGATTGGGGTTCGAACTTCGATCCCGAACACAATAGACTGCATCTAATACCGATGCAGCAACCATTTATATCAAATGAAAGAGCAATACATAAGGTTTCTATATAAAAAAACAATTATTTTGATTTGTTTATTTTTGATAATGTTACAGCAATTAAACTGGATGGACGACGCTGCCGGTCGTCCAAAACCCGTATATAAAATTGCAGTTGAACCGTAACCGCACCCACACGATTGGGTGCCTCATTTATAATATACGTTTCAAAATATTGTTCGGACGAGGCTGTTGGTCGTCCAAACATTGCTCGAGTGTGCATACGTACCCGCATATACTGAGGAAAACAACTTTAATGTTCGCATACGACAAATGTATTATAACTATTTTACTATTTAAAAATTTGCATTTTTTATAAAAATTATGAAGAAACAATTAATTTTATTCTTTAAATTCATTTTAGTAGAGAGTGCAATCGTCCCGTCGTCCAAGCCACGAGCCGCCATTGCTATTACACACGAATTATTATTAATTTTAATTGTTCATTTATTTAATAGTCATAATTATCATTTGATACTTGGCCATCTCACTCCACCGATTATCATAGGCAAACCCTCCCTGTTTAGGGCTTATGCATTTTGGTCAGAAGATCCTTTCCTTTATTCTTATACAGTTTAATTATAGATAAAGTTATAGGTGCCAGGGTAAGTGGCATAAAATTTGTAGCTCCCCGCCAAAGAATAATTATTATTACACCATCGTACAAATCTATTTAAATCTTGATGTAGTATAACACATCTTAAATGAATTTATTGGTGAGTTTATTTTAAGATCGTCTGCAAATAAAGAGAACTGGGAGTATAAAAGTGCCTTATATAAGTCATTTGTAAATATTATAAACAATAAAGGCAAAATATGATTACTTTGCAGAACACCAGAAGTAACCTTAATAATATCTGATACAGTTCCCCAGTGGTTAAAGTAAGAAGGTAGCAGTTCCTCTTGTTTTTTTGGAGTTAATTCTAGCGTTCTTTTTAAGTTAAATCATAAAATTCCGATGGGACGCTTTAATTTTGAGCACTCAAGAGTAGAAAGCGTTAATATAAAAAAATTATTCAATAATTTTAATTGTCCGTTAGAATTAAATATTTAAAACTCTTAGTTAATATTAAAATTTTTAGCGCTTAAACATGAGAAAGTTATAATGGATATTGTTGCCCAGTAAGAATTTACTATTGTTTATTGTTATTCACATTAGTTATCAATATTTTTTTAGAAATAGTTATTCCTTTATATTGGGGGCTTGATATTTGGTTTAATAAAGGTCTTTTGTCTTGGTTATATTTAAATATAATATTAAAGAGCTCATCAATAAAAATTTCGTTTATAATTTTCTCATTATAACGCCTTACCAATTGTTCCAGTGTTTTTCTTTTATATTTCTTTAATATACTTCTAAGAACTTTTATAAGATTGTCGAACGGAAAGCAACTACATGAATCAAGAGTATTTTTTAACCAAAATTGTATTAGTTTACACATAGCCCCTAAATCACCATATGAATGTAGTCTATAGGTATAGAATTAGCAAAATAAAATTGAAAATTCGAATTAGGTTATTTTCCTTTACGATGTTCTTCACTAAGTTGATTGTATAACAAACAAGATCTATCTTTTGACTTTCAATCACATGATAAGGATAGCAAATATAGTTGTTTATATATTCTCCTTCTTCAAAACACCTCGAAAAAGAAAAATAACCATAGTGGCCTTTAGTTTAAGTGATAAAGTAGCGGGTAGTCAATCAGCTAAGGTTCTAAAAATTTTAACCGATTTTATAAAATTATTTATTTTATTACAATTTATGTTAGACCTTAACGCTATTAATAGAACTATCCAAAAACTCATTACTTTCTTTTGGTTTTTCATAACCACGGTAAATATCAATAATGAAAATAAATTCACTAAAAAGCCTTATGTATGCAAGAATGTAATTCTTCAATGTAAGAATTGACTTGAACTACTATTATCTAATGGCAACTCATCAAATGTCACCATAATTCATTTTCTAAATTATACCGTTTTGAACATCTGATTATTCCATTTGCAAGCCCAAAATAATAATACTTGTCTGGAAATATGATTTGTATATTCATTGTTAGAGATAAATTAGTATGTGAAAAAGTGCGATAGTCAAGAGGTATTGAATTTGTGTCGTTTTAAAATAGCTATAAGACTATTAACATTAGTTTGTGGTACATTATTTTCAATGACCCAATTCACTAAAACAGATTCAATAGAAGATTTCTAAATATCTGTTAAAAAAATAGATTGAATGTCCCAAGTGAAGAAAAATAATAACTTTGTTTATTTTCAATTTTTTTTTTTTATTCATTAATAATTAAGGTATGATTTTATTAAAATTCCTAATATTAGATTCGTCTAAAATGTGCAGTAGATATATGTAATTTTAAGGATCCCATATAATTAACTGATTCACTATTTTTTAACAGATTTTTGGGTTTACTTATTTTATAGACATGACAATTGTATATAATTCTGGTAATGAACTATTAAAGGGATCAAAAAGTAAGAACCTTGTGTAACGTGACAAAATATGAATTTTTATAATATA